CAATACACGATCAAGCAAATCAAACAAAATCGACTCGTTTTCATTATCAAACACACAAACAAGCTATTTATACAAGTTGATCTTTGAATTTTCAAAAACTTCCTAAACCAGTAAATGCAAGCATATTATCTTTCAAAACATTTGCCTTAAATTTATAGTTTAAGAATTAAATTGTTTAAGTCTTTTGCATTGAATACTTTTTTTATTGTGAATACTTATTTTTCTAGCAATAAGTCGACCTATTGAGCTGCCCGATATATAATTAGCTAAATTTTCTATTATTTCCCGACTTTGGTAAAGGTTGAAATGTCTAATGATCTTATAAAGTGGATTTGAATGCTTGAGCTTTTGTTATTAAAATATTTTGATCTTTGCATTTCGATACATAATTCACACAATCATTAAGAAGTGTTTTACCATTCATATTCTATTAGTCAAGAACTCATTAAAAGTATTATGAATAAATGCTATTAATACTATTAATACTACTGTATTAGATTTAAAATTTCTAATTTTTTTAGACGTGTTAATATACGTAAATATATGGGGTGTCACGCATTAAAAGGGCCCATTTTTACATATAAGTAATTTTGAGTAAATCAGTAAAAATTTTGGATACGTATCACTTCGCCGACACTCATTTCGTACGTGTAGACATAAAATTTCACCGACAAAAATCCACCGACAATTATTTCGTTTACAAATTTATTTCACCGACAGTTTATTTCACCGATGCTCATTTCATAGACAATTTTTTTTTTATAAATTCCACTAACCTTAATTCTAATTCTAACCTGGGCCTAATGACAATGACCAGAATTATTTTGTCGGTGAAATGAGTTTCAGTGAAACAAACTGTCGGTGAAATGGAAAATAAATGTCGGTGAAATGGAAAATAAATGTCGGTGAATTGTAATGTCTACAAAATAAGTGTCAATGAAGTGAGCTGAACCGAAAAATTTTGCTTTTTATATCAGACATATCATTAGCTCTTGTATATATATATATATACTGAGCCATAATTAATACTTATATATATATATATATATATTTGCATGTAATAATGTTAAAACCCCGTTGTTTGACGACGGGTCCAGTATCTAGTTATTGTATTAATTAATTTTAATGTTGGCGATAAATTTTAAGCTCCGTAATATGTAACTGATCGTAGTGGCTATAGCTATAGATGATGATAAAATTCAAAAATGGAAATTTTAACAATGGAAATGATTAGTAATCATTGTTATAATTTCCATTTTTGAATTCTACCACCATCTATAGTGGTGGCGATACTAGGTGGGTCGATGAAATAGCATGTCGGCATTACGGTGTCGGGTAAATGAGTTGGCGGGTAAATAACTTTCGGGGAATCGTGCCGTAACCCAAAATTTTACAAGGAAAAATTTTGATTAGTGCATAGAAGACAGTTTCATATATTGAATTTTTGAGTTATGGGCGATTTTTAATTTTTGCATTTTTTTTTTTTTTTTTGCGTTTCTTTTACGTTACACCTGATCGTGAAATTGGATTGCTCCGATAAATCAATAATTAGTACAGCCAATCAGAAGTGGTGGGGAAATTAGGGCACTTCAAAATTGCTTACAGATATTTTAATAATTACGAGATGTCGGCATAACTGATTCAAATTGATATAATTTAAGATCTGGTGACTAATACGTATAAATATTATGATACAGTACGTACGTACGTATGTATGTACGTATATTCCTAGTTGAAACTATATAGAAATATTATCAATTCAAAAAATCGGCTAACATTCAGGTGTTGTATGAAAAGTATTATACGTGATACAAAATAACTTCTATGTACCGATCATGCCGAAATCACAAACTTAATCGAATCGGAGCATTATGAAAATAGCAATTATCTGAATGATCATTTGTGCGATCGTTCGGGTGATTATCCAAATCGAACCTGGTACGTTGTGACGCAACAAAGTTTCAAAATTAAACTTTCGCTTGTGTAACATGTATAATTTGTAGTATACTGTAATTCTATAATAGTCTATGCGAAATTTATAGTATAGAGTATACTTTAATTAGACTTTTATATAGTTATACGACATACTTGTAAATAGTTAATAGTTAATTTGTAGTCTAATTGTATGTATAAATATAGACATATAGAACGTTAGTATGCAGAGTACTTTTGTTTGGATTCCTAGAGAGATTTATTCAGTTCTTGTTCTGTATTTTTAGTTGGGTTCTAGTGAGTTTGGAACTTGCTAGGTTGATTAGAGGAAATAGAGATATTAGTACAGATAGTGTCTGGGACACAAATAAAGATATTGGTTCAGTACTTTAATACCTGAAAGAGATAATAAATACTTACTTTCGTCCCCTTAATGTTGACGTCCCTGAGTTGAATCAATAACGATATAACCAAGTCTCTCCCGCTGGACGTCACAACATACGTACGTACGTACACATTTTCTGAGTGCTAATTAGGCTAAATTCAGAAACAAAGATCATAAGTCCTCCAGACCGTACATATTAACATATATATGATTTGGAAAACTTGGGCATACTAAATTTGATTTTTGTCCAATGTCCGGATGTCCATAAAAAAATATATTGAGATCGTCCATGTACAGCACAGCCCTAGGCATGGCGAAAAATATTGGGTCATGTAACGATCTGCGGGTAAAATATCCAATAACGAACCCCGATTTGATGTAACGCAACACGATCAGGAAAATTCAAAAACAAACGTCCGTTTTTTCAGGTTTTTTACCGTTCTGAGGCAAAAATACTATTCCTGATGGATCGGCAGTATCGATCTTGATGGAGCTACAAAAAAATTTATTTGAGTACTGTTCCTGATAGGATTATACAAACGAATATGTTTTTCATATACTTTATTATAGTATATTATAGTATAAGTTTTAGAGGCCTCTTTTAGAACCCGATTTTTTTCCTACCCTCTCAGAAACGGTACCGACGATCCATCAGGACGGTATTTTTGCCCTTCTGAGCTTTAACGAAAAATTTTTCTTGAGATTTTACATACATTCAACTCAAATCTAATTCTAATATGAATATTAATCTAATCATAAATAAACTTCTCGCATGTCACGTAACAGGACATGCTTCATTCTCCGTCATGGTTAGGGTACTAGTCAGCCAATAAGACAAACTTCTGCCTATGATTTTTAGATCAATGTCGATATAAATCAGCAAATTACATAAATACTACCTATGCCCATATAGTTATGTGTAATTCACAACAAAAAGATGGATTATTATATTAACTTGATCACTAATTCATTTAAAAAGACTTAGATAAATAATTCATTGATAACATTCTTATATTCGTATTAAATAAACACGAATTAATAAGGTATTATGTGGTTGCAATCTTGGATTGACACCATATGAAATAATAAGAACTTAAATTATAATATTCTTTACAATGTACTTAAATCAAACTAATGAAAAGCATTTAGGTTGTTGCACAGCAAAACCATGGTCGGAATATGAAATAAATACTAAGCATGGTTTTGCTATGCAACAATTCATTTATAATAACTATCAACAAACTTGAAGACGGTTTTATAAATAATTTCAAGTATATCCTTTACCATGTTTTATAATAAAAGACATAACTATATTTATTGACTTTTACTAAAACGCATCTATGGTGTTTTACAACTACGAATACATTATCTCAAAACTAGCTAAATAATCGGTACGAGGTGTTCTAAGTAAAAATGTTCTACACCCTCCAAAACCTTTCCCAAACCTTAATTCTAGCCCCATAACGTAAAATTTTGCGTTAAATATTTTATGTATAAAACTTAAAAAAATCTATAAAACATAAAAACATATTATATAGGTGCCAAACCACCATAGGTGCGTTTATATAATAAATGTATTGATTATACATTTAACACACAATTTGTAATTTATTTATACTATCTACACGACATGCCCAAATCTGCTATGATAACAAAAAGCCAACAACGATAACGATAATGATATGATTAAACCTTGCTAGTTACTATTGATAATCCAAAAAGAATACGATCGATTAGTTCTTTCTCCGTATTATTTATTTCAATTCTTTTTAACATTAAATGGTTCTCTTCTTTTTGATCCTTATTCTTTACACGTGATACACCTATCAGGCCAATTAAATACAAATTCGGGATGAAAATAATAGTTGCTGCATACCAATGAATACGTTCCCGTCGAAATGCATTTTTGTTGAAAACAACTTTACTTAAATCGACTTTGCTATTAAAATAATTTTCCACGATTATTTGATCCTTTAAACGTAATAATTCAGTCCTTACATCACCAAAAACTTTTTTTGCAAAAGTTAGTTTGTTTTGAAGTCTATTTTGAATTTCCTTTCCTTTGGCCTCATCCGACTTTATATCATCATCAATTTCACTCATCTTGCGCATAATTGCTACTAATACTTCTTCTATCATCTCTGGCATACTCATCTCTGGTATACTCTTCTTGTCATCACTTGCATCATTAAAAATAGTATGAAGAGTCAATGCCTCAGCAATTATTTTTAAATCTCTAGTTATGTTAATAATGTTATCTGGTTTTAATAAAAAATTTATGCCTTTAAAAAAAAGACTCAACGTGTTCTTATCCATATTTTCATCAAAATTTATACAGCAAAGTGTCAATGTTTTAATCGAATTAAAGGTAGGATTTTTATCTTCCTTTTCTAAATACTCCGCGATTTTATTTACTTCATACTTCTTATCTCCTATCTCAATTTTTATTTCTTCTATTTCTTTTATTTTTGTTTCTATGTTGTTAAGACTTTGATCTGAATTATCATCTAACTTCTTCAATCAGTTAAAATATCATAATCATCACCTTTTTCTAGCTTTAAATACTTCTTTACAAAACTATCATCTGAAGCTTTACCATTGCCATATTCCAGATAATCATTTATACTTAATAAAAAATAGTATATAAAGAAATTCAAAGCGTCTTTATTTGAAATAAAATGTATTATTAATTTCGTAATATTCCAAATTTTAAAATCTGTGCGTGGGCCTCTCCGTTTTTCTAAATTATCCACGGATATCACTTCAATTAGTTTGTCCTTTCCACTAGTAAGTTGTTCTTTATTATCGTTTGTTACCTTATCTTTATTATCATTTATTATATTAGCAAAATAATCTTTATATATAGACCTTAAAGATTCTTTTTCATAATCTCCTATCTTATTTAAAATCTCTGAATTATATTTAGTCAAATAAGCATTCAAACCTGTCAACAAATATTTTATGCACTTTACAGAATCACCCGCATCAGTTTTGTCTGAATGTGTACAAAATAAGTAAAAAGCTGTTAATTTTATAATTGTCATAATTTCATCCTTTTTTTCCTCTTTCTTGTCTTTGTTTTCTTCCTTTTTTCCCTCTTTCTTGTTTTTGTTTTCTTCCTCTTTCTTTGGTTTTTTCATTTCTTCTAATAATTTAGTCACTAAGTCGTACGTATTTACACTGATCTCATCCTCATCATTATTTGGATCGTTATTTCACCATTTTTCTACTTCAGGAATATATAATTTAGTGCAAATGACTATAATAATGACCTCAAATAGACTAAAACATGAAAAAGCGATGAGAATAATGGTCATATTGTGAAAAGTAGAATCTCCAGAATTCCCAGAATTGTTAAAAATGAAAAAAATATTAATAACAGTCAAAATAATAAAGGAACATGCCATTAAAGATACAAATATAGTACGACGAAGCATCATATGATTTATATGTTTATTAAGTTTTTTAACAAATCTTAAAGGTGAAAATTTTTTTGAACTAAGTTTTCTGGGGTAATTTTGTTTTGAGTTGTCGATGACACAATCAACTAATGCCTTTTCAATATCTTCATCCATTTCTTTATTCTCGTCTTTATTACCAAAAATAAAAAGATTCTTTAGTGACATTAGGCTCGTAATAAGAGTTGTAAGACTCCCTACTCCAACAAAAGACGTTGTAATGATCTTTGAAACTGTTGACTTTATATCATCTTCATTTGTAGTAAGAAGATAACATCCTATTCCAAGTGAAAATATGCATACAGCAGCAGTTACTACTAATCGTCTAAAAGATAAATTCCGAAGCTTCTTCCATCTTTGGACATTTTTGTATAATTTAATGAGAATGTATTTTCTTTCATTCCAAGACATGCGTCGAGTTTTAGAAAGGTCTTCAGCCTGAGCCTGTGGCTGAATTTTATCATCAGTTTGTGCGGACATAACTGTCAGATTTTTCGTTTATCTTTTGGATAAATTAATGAAAATAATTCAGAATGCATATTGAAATATCTTATATATTTTTTACGTGCTTTGTATTTACCTCGATGGCTATTGTAATATCCAAAATGTTGTAGGATTTTTTATGTTGTATAACCACCGATAGATAAAATCAAACAGATAATGATACCGATACGTAAAACAAGAAAGCTATTTTAATGTCCAAAAGTGTAGGATCTTCATGCTTTGTAAAACATCAGTAATCGAAGATTAATCTACAAAAAAAATTTTTTTTTTAGTTATGTTTTTTGTGCCAAGAAATTTACCTTAACTGATTGGATAACTTAAAGAAAGAAACTTCAACTTGAGCGTGTATAAACATACCATATATGGGTTACATCTTATTTTCCCGATGGTCTTCGACTTCATTAACAATATATTCCTACAACTAGTAAAATGTTAAATTGTTACCCATATGTTGTCGAGAAATGGCATGTCAAGGAAATGAGTTGGAATTTCGTATATATGCTTTATTTTGAGACAAAGGTTGATATAGGGGACATTTATGCTATTTGCCAATTTACATTGGTCCAAACATGAAAACCATAACAATAGCAATCATTATGCCAATACTGCTAAATCTTGAATAAGCACTATTGATTTACTTTTTTCGAATAAGGAACTTTTTAGATTTTTTGCACCATACGTACGTACGTATGGTGCAAGAAATCTAAAAATCATAATTATACCCTATTGTGAAGAAGATGGCTTCGGAATCACCACGTTCTACAATTAAAACACTTAAAATACAAGACTACTTGAAAGAAGGCGTGGAGGATTTTTGCAAATTTTTTATTAATTTATTATCTTTTTAGCCTCGTTTGGTTCTACCAAAGAATTCATATTTTTTTACATCTTTACATGTTTACATATTACATTTTCTAACATTACTAAGTTTTACGATACCCGATTTAGCCTATGTATCTCATCCACATGCGTCGCCTAAAGGAAGAAGCATGTATGCATCTGATGGGGTACGTGATTACGCTACCTATAATGTAACACAATTATCAAATTTTCTGAAAGAGGAATGATTTTCGTACATTTTTTTCATCGGGCATCTTCTAAAATTATCGACGTCAATGAAGTTAGGGGATATCTAATTTCACTGTTTACATGTATTTTGCTTCTATGACTTATAATGTGTAATTGTTTCTTGCACAGTACAATTAACTTATATTGAATAAAAACTAAATTTGGTACATATTCTCAATAACGATCTAAGTTTCAGTATCATGCTACAAAGTTTTGATCTAGATTAATTAGACATTATTAATCTATTGTAATCGATAATCTTTCTATGAATCTCACATCCATATTCATCCAGTCATTAAGATATCATTAGCTTAGTGCTTGTAGTCGATTTTTATTGACTTAGCCAGCTTGCCAAATAAGTTTATCACAATAATTCTTTAATTATTAAAGGTTTTTAATTTTAATCAATCTATTGTTCCATGTACGTACGTACGTGTATGTCAGAAAAGCTACTGGGTCGATATATATTCTATTCACTATACCAATATTAACTAAACTACTCTGACGATCTCCCGTTATGCAAGACCAATCAAAATCTCCAATTTTTGTTTACACGGATCAGCCCAACGAAGCAAAAAAAGTAAAAAATGCGAAAAATACAAGAAATCAATGTCTAAACCTATCATTGTACATTAAAAAAAATGTCGAGGGGGCGATTTTACATATAGAAACCTTTTAATATTAGCCCATACAGGTCCTAAACTGACCCTAACCTTAACGTTAATTTAAATTCGTAATGGACCTGACTTTAAGCGTCCCCTATTTTTGAGTTGGCTATTGAACAAATACTGGATTTTTGTCAAGTTTTTTAAAAAGGAAAACAATTTATAGCAAGAAAACTAAAAATAGTAAATGGACAAATATATAATGATAATATATAAAAAATAAAATAAAATAGAATGACGAATATATAAAAAAAAAAAAAGTAGAAGCGTCGCAGCAGAGCCCGTCACAACATGCGTATGGTGCAGGAAATCTAAAAATCTCAATCATATATAGAACAAAAAACATTGAAGATAAGTTAAATTCAGTAGCGGCTTATTTTAAGTTTCAGCTGTATGCATAAAACAGCTCCTATTAATTACATATTATTCTTGGAGTATTATTTCTATGCCCATCACTTTATTGAGACTAATAATTTAAGAAATTTATTCTCGATAAGCTACTAGTTTATGCATCATCTTACAGCTGTTTTCAAAAAGATGTGGAAAACGATTCCCATATACCCATATGGGGAATCAGAGAATTTGAAAATTCCAATTAGTA